TGATATTCATAAAATATTCATAAATATATGCACATAAAATAATGAATAAACTCTTTTATTAAATAAATAATAAATATCCTATTACATCTCATGCTTCTAGGACACCATTCCCAACAGTCGTCACTGCGGATGACGGTATGGAGGATCCATTGACCTTTAAGGCTATGATGGATAGTTCTGATAAGGAAAAGTGACAAGCAACTATGAAACTCGAGATAGAGTCCATGTACTCCAACTCAATCTGGCAATTTGTAGATCTACCCGAAGGGGTAAAAGTCATTGGATGCAAGTGGATCTTCAAGAGAAAGAGAGGAGCGGATGGAAAAGTAGAGACTTATAAAGCAAGGCTAGTGGTTAAGGGTTACACCCAGAAATAGGGAGTTGACTATGAGGAAACTCTCTCACCGGTGGCCATGCTTAAGTCCATCCGAACACTCTTAGCCATAACAACATATTTTGAATATGAGATATGGCAGATGGATGTCAGGATAGCTTTTCTGAATGGCTATCTTGAGGAAACCATCTATATCGATCAGCCAGAGGGTTACATAGAGAAAGGCCTAGAGCAGAAAGTCTACAAACTGTAGAGATCCATTTATGGATTGAAGCAAACTTCTAGATCATGGAATATCAAGTTTGATGAGGCGATTAAGTCTTATGGATTTGATCAAAACCAAGATGTTTCAAACAAAAGAAAAGAAGACGTTCTTATTCTTTACAAGCCTGAATATCTGATATTCAGCGGGAGTAGTCAGTCGTTGTCAATTGAACTCAAGATTCGATCATTGAACAGCTGTGTAGTGTATCCTTAAGTGTATAAGGAAAACAAGAAACTATGAGGTAATTTAGTTAGTGAAAGAGTTGTCTTTCGCGGGATACATAGACTTTGACTATGAGTCATGACAAGAAAGGTTGTTGGCAAAGTGCGATTGCTAATTCTATCATTAAGAGTTAATGTGTAGTAGCTTGTGAAGTAGCAAAAGAAAGCAACTTAACTCTAGAAATTCTTAACTGATCAGGAAGTTGTTACAGACATAGATCAGTCATAGATAGCTAGAAAGTTTCAAGATTGGAGACATATTCTACCTGCTTTAGGACAAGTGGGAGATTGTTGGGAATAGTGTCTTAGAAGCATAAGATGTAATAGGATATTTATTATTTATTTAATAAAAGAGTTTATTCATTATTTTATGTGCATATATTTATGAATATTTTATGAATATCAATAAAAATTCCATGATTATTTATGTGACCTTAAACATTGTATATAAGTGTTATATACGAGTGGATAATGTTTAAGGATCATAATCAAAAAGCAATGTTCATAATAAATTTAATTAAAGTTAGGAATCTTTAATTAAAACATTATTAATACATGTCATTCCCATTTAGAATGGAATGGTGTTATCCGCACTGTTAATATGGTGAGATATTGAATGAGTGTATTTCGCATTATGAGATTATGTGGCACAAGGGCACAGACACAATATGAATTTCTAATAATTCTGTTAAGTATAGAAATTCTAATTGAGTCTACCGATGGTCATATATAGGATGATCTTAATCCTGAGTTCTTAACAGACTCCTATTTATGGATTTGTGTCTTTTGATTTACTCGGTACGGATTCTGAGATCCTGAATCCTATTCCTTGTATTTTGGAGACATGATGAAGTAGGTAGCCGGGAATGTTATAACACGAGATGGAATCCATTCCTTCGTAAGAAAGAAGTAGATAAATAATTCTCTTGAGGGTTGATTCGGTACTTGGACCAGTAGGAGCTCCGATTCATGAATGTGTTTTATGAATCACTGTCCATTAGAGAATCAATGGTACTCAAGGATAAAGAAGTAATTAGAGAGGTTAATGGATTTTACCTTGCTCTAATTATGAATTATTTATGGAGGATTGATCTATATGCAATGACTATATCAAATGGACACTTCACAGTTTAGAAGTAATTTATATCTATAATTTCGAGAGTGCAATTCCAAGTTTATAGTGGAGTAACTATTAGAATTAATAGAATCAATTAATTAATTAAAGTGTTTAATTGATTATTAATTTTCTTGGAACTCGGGATTATAGGTCCATTAGTCCCCGCGCCGTCCTAGTAATTCTGCCAGACACAGAGGGCAAAATGGGAATTTTAGAATTACGGAATTCTAAAATTAAACACTCGAAAATAATTAATTGAGAATTAATTATTATTTAAAAATTGATTATTTAAATTTGAATTTGAACACATCTAGATTTATCCATTTAAACTTATTTGATAAGTTGTTCAATTTAGAATTCAAATTAATTTAAGTTTGACTTACATTGAAATTTGAATTTGAGTCAAAATTGGACTACAGGATAAATGATGATTTTCTCTTCCTTCCCTATCTACAAATTGGCGCCACACAGGGATGAGAATTCCCTAAGGTGGCCGGCCACACTAAGGATAAGGGAATGTGAGATTTTATTTCAAATTCAAATAAGAGATAATTAGCAAGGTTTATCTTGGAGATAGAGATTGGGTTCATTCTAGAAGTTTGACTTTTACTCTATAAATAAGGGAATGATAGAAAATTGCGCGAGACAATTTTTAAAATAATTTTTGACCTAATAAAGTATTATGGCCGAAATTCTCTTAGAGCAAGGGAAGGAAAAATTTTTCTCTAAAAATTCCACATCGTGCATGCGTTGGTGTTTGTGGAAATTCGAGTGTTTATTGTAACCCGTTTTGTCTCATGTGTGCCCACACACACGTCTTCGTGGATTCTAGGAATTGACGTGGAAGACATTGGTTTTCTAAACATAAAGCTTTGGAGCAAAGATTGTTTGAGGTCAAAGAACTCAAGTTATCAACCGAGTCGGCCTCCAGGTATTTTTCCTAATTGAGTTCTTAATAAATGAATTAATGAGATTAATTTATTCGTGCATAAATTAATATAATCTATAGAGTATCTCAAAGGTTTTGTGAAAATTTTTGTTATACACGATCCGTCTCCCCCCACGCTTCTGCACCCGAATTCGATTCGGAGACCAACATTATCCCCAAAGGAATAATTAAATTACCGGTGACAATTGGTGACTGACCACAAACCTCGACTGTATGTCAAAGTTCTTGATTGTGAAGGGAGCAGACCAATATAATTTCGGCATCAGAAGATCAACGTTACGAGCTTTGGAAGCCATAACGTCAATTTATCATCAGATGATAAAGTTCCCGACTCCTAATGGAATTGGTAAAGTAAGAGGAAACTAGTACAAGTCCAGGGTAACTTACTCCGAGACAGTGCGCCATTACGTCAAACCAGTCCAGATGAGGAGAGAAGTGCGAATGGTTTCTACCAAGGTAGAAGAATTAGATTTGGACCCAAGGCTCCTTGGAGGAGAGTCAGGAATGAGACCTGTTGAGGAATTAATCGAGGTCCCCATTAATGTGGTGGAGTCAACAAGAAAAATGAAGATTGGCTTGGAGCTTGGGAAGTAAAGAAGTGAGGAGCTAGTAAATTTCCTCAAAGGAAACCTCAATGTGTTCGCTTGGACACATGGTGACATGGTGGGGATAAATCTGGATATAATGAGCCACATGCTCAACATTGATGAGAAATATCCCCCCAAGAGGCAGAAGCATCGACCAATGAATACAGAGAGGTATGAAGCTCTATGGGAAGATGTCGACAAATTGATAAAAAATAACTTCATCCAAGAGGTTTTGTATCCTGAATGGGTGTCTAATCCTGTGTTGGTTTAAAAACCTAATAGGAAATGGTGAACATGTGTTGACTTCAGCGATCTCAATAACGCTTGTCCAAAGGATAGTTTCCCGCTTCTGATGATTGATCAGCTCGTCGACGCCACAGCAGGACACGAGCTCCTAAGCTTCATGGATGCATATTATGGCTACAACCATATACAAATGTTTCACCTTCATAAGGAGTATACAACATTCATCACTAACAGAGGCATGTACTGCTACAAGGTAATGCCTTTTGGCCTCAACAATGCCAGAGCCACTTACCAATGTCTTGTCAACAAAATGTTTGTTGATCCAATAGGAAAGACTATGGAGGTGTACATCGGTGACATGTTGGTAAAAAGCAGAAAATCTAAGGAACATGTGGAACACCTCAAGAGGATGTTTAAGTTCTAAGGATATATAAAATGAAGCTGAATCCCCTCAAGTATGCATTTGGGGTCAAATCGGGAAAATTCCTAGGATTTATGGTGAGTAGTCGAGCAATCGAGGCCAATCCTGAGAAAATCCAGGCACTTATCGACATGAAATCGCCAAGCCAGCCTAAGGAAGTCCAAAAGCTGACAGGGTGTATGGCGGCGCTGAACAAATTTATCTCTAAATCCACCGATAAGTGCATTCCATTCTTTGACACCCTGAGGGGGAGAAAGCCATTCCAATGGATGGAGGAATGTGAACATGCATTCCGTCAATTGAAGGAACATCTCAAAAAACTGCCATTATTGTCCAAGCCTGTGCCATGAGAAGTGCTAAGCCTTTATCTTACGGTATCAGAGCACGCCGTTAGTTAGGTGTTAATTCATAAAGAGAAAAAGGTGCAGCTGTCGGTATACTATACCAGCAGGCGCCTCCTCGACGCAGAGACACGATATCCGCAGATGGAGAAGCTTGCCCTAGCATTAGTGGTGACATTCAGAAAGCTGCATCACTATTTCCAGGCCCATACTATGCAGGTTCTAACAAACCATCCTCTGAGGTAGGTGCTATAGAAACCGGATGCCTTTGGAAGGCTACTCAAGTGGTCCATAGAACTCAATTAATTTGACATCGACTACAAGCCGCAAGCTGCCATAAAATGCCAAGCCTTGGCCAACTTTGTAGCAGAATTCATGGGATTACCTGACGATGGAATATAAGCTATGAATAATGGGCCACCCAGGTGGAAGCTTTACGTCGATAGGAGCTCCAACAAAAATGGTAGTGGAGTAGGACTGGTTATGCACACCCTAGAGGGATATAAGATAACCTCGACCATCAGGTTTGAATTTTCTGCGTCCAATAATGAAGCTGAATATGAAGCGCTATTGGCAGGACTTCGGTTGGCAAAACACTTAAAAGTAGAGGCCATAGATAGCTTCCGCGATTCACAGTTGGTTGTGTATCAAGTAAAGGATCATTACCAGGCCAAGGATGAAAAAATGGCAGCCTACCTTGAAAAGGTAAAGGAGGCACTGGGGAAATTCATGGCTTACAACATACAGCAAGTGCCAAGAGCGAAAAACAGTAATACTGATGCCCTTGCTAGGTTAGCCACTTCAAAGGATGTCGAGTTGTTAAAATTGGTGCCAAACGAAGTTTTAGAAGTCCCCGCCATTGAAGGCAAGCCTGAAGTTATGCCGGTAGATAGTCGACCAAGCTGGAAAGATCCTATTATTAAGTATTTAGTCGACGGTGAACTCCCTGAGGATAAATAGCAAGCCAAAAGGTTGAAATACCAAGCGTTGAGGTATACCTTCCACGACAACATTTTGTATTGGCGAGGATATTCAACACCCCTACTCAAATGCCTAGACGAGGAAGAAGCTAGAAGGGTGCTCTCAGAGATCTATGACGGGATCTGTGGTAATCATGCTGGGGGTAATCCTAAGCTTACAAGGTCCTCTGACAAGGATACTATTGGCTGAACGTTAAGAAGGATGCATCAGAATATGCCAAAAAGTATGAAAGCTGCTAGAGGTACACACTCATCCCTGACTACATTCTGAGGACCTCACATCAATAGTTGCTCCTTGGCCATTGTTAAGTGGGGGATTGATATAATTGGCCCACCTCATAGAACTCCGAGAGGATACAAATTCACCATCGTAGCAGTCGACCACTACACGAAATGAGTTGAGGCCGAGCCTTTGACGACTATATCAGAGGAAATGTGTACAAACTTCATATGGAATAAGATAGTATGCCAATTTAGTGTACCCCACTCTCTCGTGTCAGATAACGGGAGACAGTTCAACAATGACAACACCAATCAATTCTGCGACTTGTTAGGAATCCACAAGAATTTCTCCTTTGTCATATACCCTCAATCCAACGGTCAGATCAAAGCTATTAATAAAATAATAAAGGTAACATTGAAGTGATGAATCAACAGGTACAAAGGAAGGTGGGCCGATGAGTTGCCAAAGGTTATGTGGGCATTTAGAACGACGTACAGAACTACCACTGGAGAAACTCCATTCTCCATGGCCTATGGGGTCGAAGCTATTCTACCGGTCGAGATATTTGTCCCCACCTGTCGAGTGTTAAAGTATGGCGAAGATCTTGGAGCTCGTCCTATTGGAAGAAAGGCGCACAGTTAAGGCTCGCTACATACCATGCCAAGACCACTCGCTACTATAACCAAAAGGTTAAACATAAACAGTTCAAAGCAGGAGACCTTGTTCTATGGGTTGTAACTCTAAATACTAAGCCCAAGAATTCTTGGACCCTAGGGTCAACATGGGAAGGGCCTTACAGAATTAAAGAGGTTGTGGCAAATGGATCTTATCGACTCACAGAGTTAAATGGTCGAGACATCAAGCACACATGAATGCAGATCAACTGAAGTTATACTATCAGTAAAAGGAACAAGGGTCGACCATAAATTCAGTAGATTTAGTACTTTCTTTTTTAAGTTCTGTTTTTGCTTCTTGCTTTTCTGTAGGCTTAGAAGTCTCGACTTGTAAAGATACTACTTTATCAATAAAAATCCAATCCGATTCCACTTAACATTTGATTATTGCATGGCAAGCCCTGGCTTAGCCATACTTAGTAAGAATCCTGAAAATTTTAAATTTTGATCACTGTTCGACAATTGATCACTGTGAGCTCAGCTACGTTGATACTTAGCAAAAAATAGGTATATACATATCTACGATAATACTTATCTACGATCGATGCACATCCACTGAACATTAAGAAAGCATCAAATTAAAATGGGCATATAATAAATAAGATAAAAAAATAATAATATATGTCTAGGCCTTATTGCCATTAGTAAAAAAGAAAAGATATCATTATGTCGTGCCAGCTCCTACATCCCCACCTCCTAACGCCAGCTCAACCCCATCCATTAGCTCGAGCTCCCTAGACAGCCTAGCTTCCTTAGCCTCATCCTCATCAGACTCGTCGAGGAAGGATAGGTCGACCTCTGGACGCTTCTTTCTAAAGCGATCAACAATTTAGTCCCCAGCAGACCTCATTAAGAACAGTTGAAGGTTCTCAAACTCAGCAGAAGCTTTGTAAGCTTCCAACCTCTGAGTAAAAAGATCTTCAAAGTCTGCAGAGGACTTGAACGCTTCCAACCTCTTTGTAAAGAGGTTTTCAAACTCTTTGGAAGCCTTAAAAGCCTCAAGTCGAGTGTCGACCATGTGGTGGAATTCCTCTGAGGCAGTGAAATCCTCGACCACTTCCCATCTTTTTTGCTCAAAGTTAGGAGATGCAAGATATGCCTCGACCGCCTTAGAGCTCCCCTCAGAAAAGCCTTTTTTGAAGCTCTCCATTGAGACCTTGTCGATCCTCCCCTCAAGAGATTAGACCTTAGCAGTCTCGAGCTCTAGATTCTCGACGAGCTCAGTACGGGCGGCATGGAGAGTTGTGAGCTCTTCCTCAGAGGCTTTGGTCGAGGCATCTTTCTTAAGGAGAGTCTCGAGCTCCAGGTAGTTTTGAAGTGTGACTTTGAGAGCCTAGACAACATAGGGTAGGTTATGAGACAAACTATATATAAAAATATAAAATACATGCATACATACATATGAGTCGAGAGGTGAACTGGCGAAATGTACAGAGACCTGGCGCATGACAACGACGCGCTGGCATTCTAAGAGGTTCATCCCTGCAAACCTGGTGACAGTACGTGTAGATCGCCTGGATGGGAAGGCTGAAGCGTGGGGAAAGGCAGAGAGCTTGGTCGAGATGGTGATCGACAACGTCAGGGATGAGGAATTGATGGTCATTATATCTTGACCCTCGCATGTGAAGAGGCTCCTCAGGTGCTGGGGCAGCACCTTTCCTCTTGTCCAGGCGCCGAGAGCTCCCAGAAGATCCCTCGACTGCAGGCAGTCCCCAGCGCTCTTCCACCCTCAGTTTTTTAGGTGGTTGCGTTATCACAATCTTCGACCGATCGACGACCTTGGGGACGTCTTGGGAGGCCGGGTTGCTCGACGATTTAAAAGAGGCTTCTCCCTTGTATTTCCTTTGTTTGTTGGGGATAACGTACCTCATTGTGGATGACAGGACTACAAAAAAAAATCATCATAAAATTAGGCACAACTTAAATATCTCGACTTCAATCTACTGAGATACACTTACAAATTACCTTGGAGGAGATCTGCGGGTGGAACGACTAGTTGACTTGGCAGGTTGACGGCGACGAGCAGCCTATACAATCTACGATTCTTGGGCGTGTTCAGAATAGTAGAACTGCGGCTGGAGTCGGGAAGTGATAAGATATTTTCGACCCTTGCCAAAGCGGTTCCAGAGAGCTTTGGCCACAAAGGAACTTGACCTGCACCCAAAAATCACATTTTATGGATGGCTCAACTTATATCACAATTTTCTTAAAGATTCAACAAAGTGAAAACATACAATATATTCTGAATATTGTTTGAGTCTCGATAGGGTGCTCGACGTTGAGCGGGTGAGAATTGAAATTGTCATAGAGAAAGAAGAATTAGAGCTTCCACCCATAGGAACTGGAGGTCTTCTCAATGACAATGGGCGGTACTACAGGTTTGGACTTGGAGTGGGAAGACAAGTAAAAGAATCCCCTTTAGGCTGGGGAACTCCGGAGGGCATAACAATACAAAAATTCCTCGACGGTTATGTCGAGGTTCAAAAAATTTCTCCACAAAATAATCATGACGTTAATAGTCACTCAGCAATTAGGGGACAGTATAGCAGGAGAAATTCTGTGAAGGCCACAAAGGGCCTTCACAAAAGAGTGAAAGGGGATGGTTTGACCAAAGGTGAGAGATCTAATATATACAGTTATATGATTGGCAGGTAGATTGTGGGCTTTATCACTAGGCGTCAGGATAATGAGGTAGTAGTTATGAACGTTGATCTGTACGGTGCGGAATGCTTCCATGGCGACCTTTAGTTTAATCTTTGATGGGTTGACATCGGTCACTATGCCA